GCAATCCACTGCCATAAAATCTCACGTGGATCAAGAGAACCGATCGGGAGTGCATCATTATTGATTGAGTACTTTGTATTGAGTTTTCTGGAAAATGGATTGGTCACTACAAAAAATTACCTTTCGTGGATGGCATATCGCCTCGAAAAGTATATCTGTGGCTCCATATCCGAGGTGCCGTCGCTAGAGTTTAGCACTGCAAGGAACTGAGTAGGTAAGGCGCATTGACCCTCAATTACATTTCTGCACGAAGCGTACCAAACTTACTGAACGTCACAGTGCGCGTGATGCTGCTCGGTCTGCCGCCTCTGTTTATTAGCCGGCGTTCCAAGGCATCGTAGTTATTAAAGGTCCGCCGAGAAATGATTCTTTCATCAGAAAACTTCTTTTCGCATCCAATCCCGAACTGTTCGGTGTCTAAGACCTTGAACACTACTTACATGTATGAGGAAGGCAGTGAAATGAATGAACTCAAATTAGAAGCAGGTTGAGAACAGATTATCAGCCGTAAGCTTTATTTTTCAGAAGAGTGCAACAGTGGGATATTAATGAATTTATCATTCATTGGACGAACAAAACGCTCGCACGTAATGCGACTTGAAGGCTGAACGAGCACATGTTCATTCAGTTGACTAGCACGGAATATATGAGTATCATGTGACCTTAGGGGGTGTGTAAAAAAAGGAACCCATCAAATCTTTTCAAATGGAATGTAAGCTTAGCAATAATGCACGGGTGTATGTCAACAAGGACTGCGTTGTCTCGTGTACAGTGAGAGAGGAAAAACGAGCGGAAGAGTAATCCATGTGATGGAACAGGTGCACCTCCCGCTCGGTCATCTGTCAGCAGACAATCCAGCGTGTCAGCAGAATCTGATGCTGACAGTTCAGCAATATGTCGTTGTACTTGGATGGGGGGATTGCACGGCTCGGAAACATCTTTCCTCAGTTTACCGAAAAAATATTCAGAGGGAAGTGCTGAAACCGATCTAAAGGTCCATGTACCCTCACATCTTCCGCCAAATGCACCAAGCTATATACATTGTAGGCGAAAGCCGGTGGTCCATATATATCGGAAAAACTCAGTACAGCTACACACAAATACGTACAAAGTCACTACGATCAAATTAATGAATCGGGTGGGAAAATACATACACAGCGATAAACAAACGTTGACATCATTCAAACCTGCAAGTACAACAGGTCCTATGGCTTTCAGGAGATTATTGTGTTCAAGAGGGCGTCGACGACTTTGGAACTCGCTGGGGATGTGGCTGTGTAACTTCTGTTCTTAACGCTTGCGACAATTTGTAAAAGCGACGCGCTGAACCGTCAACCCAAAACTCCAGTAATCGCCCCATCACACCTACGCACGTCAAGTGTATATAATCAATAGACTTGATCATCTCTATTGGTAGCCGCTCAAATGGTGAGACACCAGTATGATAATCGGCATTTGCTTTTGAACAGAAGTTGTTCTCAACGGGGTGTCCAGTTGTGAAAATTTATTGTTTCCTCAAGCCGGCCTCCACAAACAGCACATCCATCGCATCTGTAATGACCAGAATGTCCCTTTATTTGTCCTCGAACAATTTGGCTGGCTTGTCGCAAACGATACGTGACGGATGTAGAGGCACGCATTCCTGATCATTTAGAGACATTAAACCACTATCAGGAGCCAATTGCAGTCCACTGGTTGTATCTTGCAAATAGGCTTTGACGTCAAGAGGTTTCGAGGCACCCTAAAGTACACCTACCACTAATGATTTCGTTCCCGACAGTTCCGACGCACTTGCGAGAATCGGCTAACTCTGTTTTCTGGACGGCCCGCACAGACTTACAATATCGATGTCAGGCACAACGTTGAGCAGTGTTAGTTCACTGTGCATAGTGGCTGTCAACCGGGTATTCTGCTGACGCGTGCGCAATCCAGCGTGGATATGGGTACCACTGACGATTGCTTGAGAAGCTGGCCATCTCGGAGTACAAAAGGAAGTTCTCGGGTCCTTTGGCAAATTAGGATGATGTCGACGCAGAAGAAAGGGCAACGTACGCTTATACTTGAGGGATATTGGGACACTGCGCGCCATGGCATTGCGTGTCTTCCACAATGGAAAGTGAACGAAGGTACGATAATGTTGCTTTCAGAATGGGATTACTTCACCTGAAAACGAACCGTATAACTAGATACCTTCCAGCGAATTACCTACATGTTGTTGGGTTGGTCTTCTCTGGGCTGATCTGCTGCCGACGGCGTAGGTCGTGCTGCTGTTGAAAGTCCAGTCATGTCCAAGTTGTTCCATTGGAGCGGGCATATCAGTAACATGGTCACTATTATTTCACCAGTGTGTTGGAGGCGGGCTTCGGGTTGCTGCAGTTACTGAAATTTTTACACCCGTGTTGATGCTCCCATATGTTGCCGCGTCCACAAAGTAAACAGACTCGAATGGGTAACCCACCCTTTCCGAACCGATAACGTCTTTATCTCTCCGACACACTCTGTGCGTAATTTCATGTATTCAAGGACAGGTAGCTAAGTACATAACATTTAGCGAATATACACTCATCTGCACTCATCTGGGCTGTCGATGGATTTTCAGCAACCTTATGAATAGTACATTACAAATATACAGAACATTTAGTTTACACTGCGCGTCGCAAAAATGAACGAACAATAAGAACGAGCGAGTGGACGATTAGTCAGCTTGCGAGAACCGGACTTCGCACATTGAATCGACTGTGCATGCAGACAAAACAGTTTCAAAGAAGACCTTTTAAATAGGGTTCCAACATCCAACCTATCCTGTTTTTCTGGCTTTCAGAAGGCTTTTATGTAATAATTAGTACATTTTTTAGCTTGAGTGTGAAGCGAATGTCTCGGATGTTAACCACCTCTGGCTGCCTTTGGCCACCAGTGGCTCTGTGTTTGCTGGGTAATTCACTGCAATGCAAGGCGAAAGCATTAATGATGAATCAGGAGAGTGTAAATTCTCATTCATAGTTAGGGTCTTTGGATCGATCGTGATGCTTGATTGTCTTTCCTGTGTTTTTTGTGTCTTTAGGACCCAGATGTCTTATCGGATGCCAGTGAGACTCGGAAATTCCCTGAATATCTAACTGTCTGCTGTTGGCGCTCGGTGCGCGAGTTATCCATTTTGTTGGGTGTCTGCCTTCCTCAGATCGCTGGGCTCATTCCTGTACACACACCCTCCACATCGAATAGGATGTCATCTGCTTCGGGACGTAAACTCTCTGATGATCAGGTATGTTCATGCTGTGCTGTTTCCCACTTATCTCTTTCCCTGTGTTCTTCTGTAGCTTTGAACCTATTTTAGTGATGTGATGTTCTTTGGCCAAAATCACTCCTGTATTTGAAGCAACAGCTTCTTAAACAGGTTTCGGGAGTTTTTTCCGCTCGGTTCACAGCTGCTTCCTTGGGTCCCACCACTTGCGTCGTTAGCATGCAGGTCGGCTACCGGATTAAACCGTAGTTTCAGTGGGCGTAAGAAAGCTAACGAAGTGCTCTTAGCGATTGTCCATACCTATCTCCAACCCGATTCTATGGTTAGCTGCCTGATTGTTACTTGGGGGTAACAAATAAGATGCTCACCACACAAGGTTGAAGATAAAAATAGAGGGGCGATGCCATCAACCAATGAGGTAAACAAGATAGTTGAGGATCACCTGAAGCAAACGTATTTCTTTATAAAGCAACAAGCAGCTTTTAGAGAAAAGGAGCAGGTCAGGGCATCCCTGTGAGAAACTTACACAACAACCAGACAACTCAAGGTGCATTCTAGAGAAATGTGGTTACTTCAATCTGGAAAATTTGGATGTTGTGAGAGGCGATGCTATATTGATGGATGAGAATTTCAAGAGATTATTCATTCCTGAGAAAACGGAAGAGACGAAATGACCGATTCGACAGCTCAGTGCAGTGACGTGGTAGGGCTGATGGAAGAACACAGGTGAGTGAAGCAATTGGTTAGTGCAAGGTGGCACCCGATACAAGGTGGGAGGAAGGGTTACCATAATAAGGACCATGAAATGGGGACAATGGCTGCTGCATGATGAGAGTGACTGCAGAATGTCTGTGGGAGTTGAGGTGGTGATGTTGCCAAGGGACTCTCTTTGGATGTGATCGCTGTTCACCTGGGAAACCTCTACAGGCATGTTTTGCTATCCTTTACTGTCGTTCCTCACCTAATTTCCCTCCTGTTTTCATTCTTTGCAGGTTCTAAAAACCAGCCAATTTTTCTGCACCCAACTGTTGTGTGGTCGTCATCGGGGTGCTTTAGAACAGTGTTCGATTGGATTTTCTCGCTTCTGCTCCAGTTTACTCAGGTAATTTAGCGTACTGCACTAACTATACCATCTTAGCACCAAAGAAAACAAACTGAAAAGTCTACCTTCTATTTGGCTGGATGTTGTATTGCTCGATCTCCTGAATGAACACGACTCAGAAGATAAGGAGGAACTGGATGCTTTTGTCCGACGCGCTAGAATGATTCCTTTATCGAGTGTCCGTCGTGTTGGAGGATATTGCTCCACAAGACGATCTGCTGGACTACCCTTCTTCATACAGGTAAGTGATAAGGTCACACCCCTTCTCAGAGAGTTCAGTATTGCTGTTCTTCTGAGTGGCTGTTCTATGCAAAGCAACAATCAAGGTTTTACTGCTTAGTGTGAGGCTTGTCTCTAAGCGAAATCCCAGTCGCACGACCGGTTTCCCCCTGCTGGAGCTAACCAGATAGGCGCAGTCTCCGAGTTTCCGTCAACATTATGTCCCACTCGAGCCCAGGTTACACCATTTGGTTAAAGACATCGTAAACGGGAGATTCATCTGGCTTCCAGGTGAGTCTCCCGTCAAAGCCAAATTGGTATACAAATGAGCGTATTCTGCTAATTTTGTGCAATTCGAGAATACATATTGGCGGAAACTCCGGGACTGTGCCTACCTGATGAGCCCCAAGGAAAGCGAAACCGTTCATGGGAGTTTTCAGCATTACTTCAAAAATGGGGTTGTTTGGTCATTTCGCATTTTCGGCAGGAAGCTCCCACTCGATTAGAAAGCGCGAGAGCTGAGCTACTACTGGGTTACCTAAGTTTGGGTAGGAGCAATGGAAATGTTGAGAAATTTATTTCGACTCTGAACCTTTGGTTCCGGGGCTCGTATCATATTTTCTCAGCTGCCTGCAAGTCGCATGGTTACTGCCTGTCCATCGCATTTAAACGTATTGACCTTCCATACCCAAATGGTTTAAATCTCTTCGACACAGTTTGCTCAAAATGAATCTTGGAAGGTAGTACGTGGAGGCCTCATAGGGATTTTTTCGCCAAATGGGAGAGATTACTCGATAAGAAATAACTGACTGCCTTAATTCATAAGGACACCGGTTTAAAACGACTTTTTTGGTACAACTTTCGAAGAATGCAGCGGACTTCCATTGCCAGTCGCCTCAAGGCTATCTACAACCAAATCATCTGAACGAGAGCATCGTGAACTCCTCCCACTTCAGTACTGATTCTCTAGCTGTTTTCCGCTGGGCTCAGGCGCTGATATTGTTTCCTTTTTGTCTACGAGGCGATTTAGAGCGTCGAGCTCATAAGTATAAGGAAGCATGTTTGAGGAGAATAACGTTCTTTTCGGACGGACAATAGTTGGCGGAAACTCCGGGACTGTGCCTACCTGATGAGCCCCAAGGAAAGCGAAACCGTTCATGGGAGTTTTCAGCATTACTTCAAAAATGGGGTTGTTTGGTCATTTCGCATTTTCGGCAGGAAGCTCCCACTCGATTAGAAAGCGCGAGAGCTGAGCTACTACTGGGTTACCTAAGTTTGGGTAGGAGCAATGGAAATGTTGAGAAATTTATTTCGACTCTGAACCTTTGGTTCCGGGGCTCGTATCATATTTTCTCAGCTGCCTGCAAGTCGCATGGTTACTGCCTGTCCATCGCATTTAAACGTATTGACCTTCCATACCCAAATGGTTTAAATCTCTTCGACACAGTTTGCTCAAAATGAATCTTGGAAGGTAGTACGTGGAGGCCTCATAAGGATTTTTTCGCCAAATGGGAGAGATTACTCGATAAGAAATAACTGACTGCCTTAATTCATAAGGACACCGGTTTAAAACGACTTTTTTGGTACAACTTTCGAAGAATGCAGCAGACTTCCATTGCCAGCCGCCTCAAGGCTATCTACAACCAAATCATCTGAACGAGAGCATCGTGAACTCCTCCCACTTCAGTACTGATTCTCTAGCTGTTTTCCGCTGGGCTCAGGCGCTGATATTGTTTCCTTTTTGTCTACGAGGCGATTTAGAGCGTCGAGCTCATAAGTATAAGGAAGCATGTTTGAGGAGAATAACGTTCTTTTCGGACATACCACGCTATTTAGAAACTGAACCTTTTGTTACCTTTACGTATTCCATGCATGCATGGAAAGCCTGTCACATGTTTAAATGGCGGGAAGACACATAGTTCATGGAATAGCATCCGGAGAAAGCAGGCAATTCGTTGATGAATTTGAGACTAGGCTCCGTGATTTGATTTTACAAGATAAATGACACCGTCCTGTTCTCCTGAAGGACACATTAGTTCCGTAAATACTCATAGTGTTTCTTCAATTTATGGAACTCTGCAAAAATCATAAAAGTCTAGTCGGATCTCGTCCGCCCCTAATAACCTGACATCACGTTAATTAGACGGATGTGTCACGTGCCGACTACGGAGCTGATCGGTCAGAATGTCAACCAATCTGGATCGAGGGTCTTTAGATCGACGCTTCTCGCCTGCCCACAGAGATTCCAGCAAGACTTTGTCGAACATTGTGTGATAACCCTTTAAATACGGTTGCAATAATCTTCCTTTGTCTCCATAAAAGGAGCTGAATCTACCGTGCGTTTTAATATACCATAATGAGCGGAGCAGAAAGTCAAAGAACTGCACAATCGCATGACCATTCAGCAATTCACAGCAAATCTCGAAAAACACAGCTGAATAAGTGCATCCGTCTTTGTTGGGATTCTTCAGGCGGGTGTAGGGGCAGCAGTTATTCGACTCTTTGGTGAAAAATTGTAGACTGTTTTCCACCGGACCATGTGTCCACCGACCAGTGTTTTCGAGTATGCGAAATCGCCCCCCATAGGTTTGACCACACATGTACCTCAAATGTCCCGTAAAATCCATAGTCCATGGTTGAGTAATTCTGAAGTCCTCTACGGGGATCCGTGACCTATTGTGCAACACATTCTGGTTAATAATCGCTGTTCACTTGTTTGTCCTAACAGGCTGGGACCGTGAGAGATTTTCCCGTGAAATCCGTTTAGTAAACCGGATTCGAACTTGGATGAAGTACAGCACCCATGGTGCCCCATACTTAATACCATGCCTGTTGGGCGGCTTAGTTCGTTGCTATCTTGTCCCTGAGACTAATATTCGATCAAACTTAGGGCTACTGAAATACTCGTTACCGATGGTTCTTGATCATTCTCTTGGTATCCTTCGGCCTAACGGTCAATGCCGAAATCCTTGGTCCTTTGAGTAATCATATGGCAGCTTCCTTGGTATAATGTAATCGAAAGCCAATGCGATCGATTCGGCTGACCTAACAATCGTCAGCTGTTCAGATGCATTCAAGAGGTCTTCTCATCATGTCGCTTGTGTTGTTCAGTACGGGAATTTTCAAAGTCAAAGCACACTGTTTCCATACTGTACATCTTATGGTGTTCAATCTTTCTAACAATATCCGGGCCGAGTTTGGCCCGGAATCTCCTAAGCCGTGTCAACAATTCTTGATCGGTGTTTTCTCCTTCCCGAACTGTTTGCACTTAAGTAGTAGCCCAGCGATTTGACCGAATTGACTAGCCATTGGGCATCGGTCTATGAAGTTGGTCGTTTGGGCGTATGAGGTGCTGTTATCTCCCAGTTACGGACGTACAATAGTTGAATGATGGAACAAGATGTTCCTCCCCGACGGTCATTTCGTTGAGGACGAACTGAGTACCCTGAGTGGCTGGCTTGCATCCAGAAGACTAAACCTCATTTGAGAATACGGAGTTCAACGAATATATGTTTTGGCAAGTCTCAACTGGATTCTACCGTTCCGAATGGTGGACAAACAAAAAGCAGGATTCGGAAATGCAAAGTCAGTAATCAGACAGTTAAAACAGTGAACAGTGGTCAGATGACAAGATTGGCGTAGAAACTCAAGTTTTAAAATGATATGTTTCACGCAAGACAGAGTCTCCGAAAAGACAGCGATTCTGGCTAATTCCTAGGGTGTTCTCTCTTCTCCTGTCTGATTTAATCATTTTTCTCAATTACAGTTATCGTGTTACATGTTCACTGCGATATTCAAATCCACTCGAAGCACTCTTCAGGGGAAGTCATATTAACCTATACAGCTTCATGCAATGGGGAACTTCTATATTTGTCCCGTGCTGGAGGACTTGATGAAGGTAACTGCGACTCAACAGTCCATGGTTCCCTCATTCTCTGGTTTGCTTATTTCCCTGATTTTTGGAGTTCAAAAAAGAGACGATCATGAAGAGGGGATTTTTCTGCAGTGTGATGATTTGTGCACCGCCATAGCCTATCGAGCTGTACTTGGGAGTGTGGATCTGACACTCGCGAGGCCTAACAGGCCCAGTTGATTCATGAACAAAGTTTGACTAACACACACTTCTGGTGTTCCACATTGAGGGGATGGAAATTTGCGGCGACTTGCTCTAAGGCAACGTTGACTGCTCTGGCGAACCGCCGCTGACTTGCGGTTAGGCTTTTAAGTAGGTCACAATCGTGCCGAGTCTGGAGGAGGGCTGGAAACCCACGTACATCCATGGACTGTGTAGATGAAGAATAAGGGCATTTTCATCTCAAACGAAACTCCCCGGCTGAATTCGATGGTCAGTTATTCCAAGCGAAATTGTATCTCCCCTTGTGATGTGAGTTCACAAGTAAGATTTGATAACACAGTCTTCTGAGACAAATTAAGCAGTTGCCTGCTACTGATGGCCTATTCCGCATGTACTCTGTTTTCCAAGTCGTATTTCACATATGGCTGGTCATCTGTGTTGTTGTTTTGGGATTGTGCGTCTAAAGGACCTCGAATATTAGTCCATTTTCGCTCAGTTTCCACAGCATTCTCAGCTTTTTTCATCTCTGTCGTTGCCTCTCGATCGCAGAGCATTCTGGCCACAATTTGGGAGACCCCTTCTGCAGACCGGAACGTCATTTGTACTAGCATCACGCGGCTTTTGAATCTGGTAGATAAAACTCTACACGATCCTTCCTCATCCTCCTGTTCGTTCGAACTTGTCGAAGTGAGTCACAGAATGCCTTGCTCTCTTGCACTTTCCTTTCGTATTCCTATCAGACACAATACAGTTAGTCGACGAATTGCTCCTCTTCAATTTTAGCGTTGTGTTGTCGTGCTTAACGTTGCACGTGCTCTATTCAGAGCCACCGGGTTGGCACAGCCTACCTCACAGTTTGTGGAACGCGCAACCTGCTTGGCTCTTGACGGAATGGGTTCCGCCGAATGGAATGTACGTTGGTTTCCTTTCATTTCAAATTTCGTGACAATGCTATTCCTGTTCTGAAAATATGCTATCACTTTACGTTTTTAGATAAGAAATTCCTCGGGATTACTATACGGTGCTCTTGTGGAGCGCATTTTCGGTGGAAATCGGTCTCGTGAGGCAGCGAATCGAAAAAATTGGTCAGTCATCTTTATTTCTCTCCAGCTTACCCTGTCCTATCGATTCATCACGTCCTGGGTCGTTACCGACCTCCTGAATAAAGTAGGCCCCCTGTGTTGTACGTGACTGCTGTCTCCGCTCTGCTGCCCTAATGTCAGAAGAAGACTCACCAGCAAGGAACATAACAGCCTTTTCACGAACGACTGAGCGAGTGCAAAGGGGGCCTCGCGGTATTCAAAGCGCACTTTTAACGTTAATCGCTCAATGTGGTAGGGCGATCGGTGTTCACAATGAAAGCCATATTCACACTGTCAGCTGATTACACATTTCGGCTGACCACTTGACGTTTTCAGCTGTTCGTTTGGTTAACCTAGGTGTTTCACATTGCTAAGCATGAGGACGCCGGTGTAGAAGGTAGGTTGCACCATTAGTGTCCAGATATCTCGTTGTTACTCTGACAACAGCATCGGGACGCATTTTTTACACCATCTGGAGGGATGAGTTGCGGTTCTTTTTTGGCCAGATGGAGGCGAGATGGACAAAGTGATTAGAGCGCGAATTTACTGACCGGAAGGTCCGCGGTTCAAACCCGACCTCTGCTTCTCGACTTCCCCTGTCTAGGCTTGGGTAACCTGGCAGTATCACAGCCCTCGTGCAAACTTCGGTTGGGATAGCAGCTAGACAACGAAACGGTGCTACAGCTGAGAGATTTTTTGGCCAGACCCTCAGCCATATCCAACACAGGGGGCTCACTGTTTGATGGTACATCAAAAACTTGACTTGAAAGGGAACATACTGACAGTCGTGTACAAAACGTAGCCCCTGCGCCAGTGCGACCAAATTTTTTTAGTGTTACTAGAGTGAGCTCTCTTGAATTTCTCAGAAATATGTAAAGCACAATACATAAGGGCTGTTTGTCCAACTCTGGTGGCAAAACGAACGCATTTCAGTCCTCCGTAAGGTGGTGCAGAGTATGTTCATGGCCTGACTACTACCTATTGATCGACCAAAGTGATTGTACAATCAGCTTTTTCACCTGCGCAATGGCAAGATATCCAGTGGTCATTTCTACGAATGCATTTGCTGGGAAGACTGTGATATTTGTTGCTTTCAACGCAAAGACAGGCATAAGGCTGTAGAAATGGGTTTTCTTGTGAAGTTAAAATAAGAGGATAGTTTATACGGCATTGCGCTGTTTCTGATTCTCTGGTTAATGCATTTGTCGCGTTACTGAAGTAACCAATTAGCGAACGCGTATTCTACTTAAATTTGGATTTTCAATTTATAATGAAAAAAGCCCCCGGAATGTCGCTGTACTTTTTTCATCACTGCTCGGAAATTTCATGTTAGAACTTGCGCTTACTCAGAGGTCAAAGACGCACATTGGAAGTATCCCTTCAGTGAGGCTGCGTAATGAGTTTCCATACAGGAGCGTCAGTAAAGTTATTCTCAATGCTGTTTCCGGAAGTATATCTTAAAGCTCGCATGGTCTGTAGCAGTTGGTGCGCTGCTTGATACGTCCAAATCCATGGGATAACTGGAGCCCTGAACCCGCCTTTAGGTTGGAATACCGAGGTTGAATGTTCAACGTTTCGGCTACCGTGGGTTGTAGTAATCAGGATCACCAAAAAATACAACGGAAAGAACTCAAACTGGTAGCTACGACTACACAGACCTCATCTGCTTAGTCTGCGATTTGAGGCGGAAGCCGATGCATCGCGCGCCTGATTATTAGCTAGTCCTGACTAGACAGCTGACAGAACTTCGTTTCAGTTCACTCGCACAGCTTGCGTATAAGCTACCAGCGACTCCGCACAGCATCGTTCTGTATTCAGTGAAAGTTCCTTGTGGATTAGTTGACCAGACAAGTGACCGTGTGACTCTTCTAGAGCAAGCACAGCAATACCTAAACCTAGTTTTTTATTGAGGTGCGTTTTGAAACGGATAACGGGCACGTCTCTTTTTTTGTCCATACCTCCTTTCCAGCCTAACATCTGCCAGCTTTTTCACACGTTATCCGTCACTAAAGCAGCAACTACTGCGAGTTTTCGAAGCAACGTCAGACAACCTCATGTGAGTTTATTTAGAACCTTGCATATACTGTACAGGGTTTTCCGATCTCATCCCGCGTTGTATGAGTGCCTTCTTCATTATGAATCCTTGTGGATCCCTATGCTAGGTTAACGTGAATTTGATCGGACTAGCCTCTAGTGAAAGTTATCCTTACTGTACTCCAATTTAACCACTAATAAATTGAACGAGAAACATGGCATTTTTAGAAACAAGCGCATCTCCACGGGTTAACCTTCATCCTTCCCGTTTTTTCTCATTTGAACTGTCTGCTCTTGACCAGCTTTACCTTGGGCTAATTTTCCCTCAGCTAGAAGTTACTTCGAAGTTTGTTCGGGTCACTGGTAGGTATGTACCGTTTGAACACGACCTCACTTGTACCTCGTTGGTTCCAAACTCTCACTTTGTCGTGCGGGAAAGGTACCACCCTGTTTCATCCGTTATCAAAACCTCCAGTGATTTATGCCTCATTAGGGCTGAAGTGGAATTTAACCCTTTTGTCAAAGCAGCCAGCTAATACCGTCAGCCTGGTATATGCAGTCATAATTTATATTTTATAGTTGTTAGTTTATCAATAATGGTTTTAAGGATAGAGCATTCTGATTTCCAGTTCTCTTTTGTTCGTCCACGCGTTCCATCTTCGAACTCATGAATGACCACCCACACTGCTGAGTAATTCGTTGCTCGTTGGTCCATAAATAACACGTTAGAACGACCGTACTGTTCACCGGTTAACTCCGTCTTCTAGAAGCTCTGGAGTTTATTTTCGAGACGTGTACATCTACAATCTCCCCCACTGTATTTCTGATACTCCCCCTTTAGGATCCATTCTGCCAAGGGTAGATTTCTTTATTTTTATTACCGTCCCTTACCGTAACTAGAACTGTTTTTAACCGCAAATCTATGTTGTGGACTCAGTCGTGCTCAACTTCTATCCTCTTCTGCAGCTCACCGGCTTTGGCGCAGATGAAACAATATGCATCCCTCTTTCTCCTAACTCGATTGTTACCTCCGCACCAATCGTGTGCTGCCAGCGGTCTTGTAGAATCAACCTTTGGCCCGTTTGTGCTCCGGTATGTCCATATTTCGCTCCTTCAATGTGAGCATCACCTCACAAATCATATTTAAAGAGTCACGAACCGTTGCATTCCGCTGTGCCTTTTCTATGCACACAATATCATCCGACCAGATTTTTCGTCTCATGCAGTAGCCTCGTCACTAAGAGGCAGCTGGAGTGTGCTTTTCTTGTGACTCAGTCCATTCGCATATATATAGTTTATCTTAAGCGATTCTCCGTTCGCAAAGGCATCATGAGCAGCTGTCCATGACGGTAGTCTCGTGAAATGACAACCACTTTAAAGCCAATCTTCCGGAAGCCTAGCCATTCAGATAACCACACCAACGTCATCTCTCCCCATCCATTGTGAACGAAAACAACACTGAGCTACACGTTGGTCAACCCGTTGTCAGCCTACAAAGAAATCGGTCATATCAAATTAGCTTCCATAAACGAGACTTCTTACGGGGTGAATAGGTTGCACGCTTCGTCCTCCGTAACCACCTAAAAAAGCCATTTCACGAACACATGACACCGATTTCCCACTGACAGTACTGACATTCGAAGGCATCCGCCGTGTCTTGTCCAGTCTTAACATCTGCACCACGTTTCACACGGAAGCTGCGCTTCGTGCACCTAAATTACCAGGTACCCAACCAAACCTGCGGACCGAACGGAGCTTGACAGCGTCCACTTAATTTACATCAGTGGACATTTAAAGCTTCGAATCAGTGAGCACAAGCGACTCCTCAAGGCAACTTCCAATCTGGACTCTGCTATGGAACTGTACGCATCAGCTGAGTTCCACACAGTCGACTTCAATGGAAGGCAGTCCTGTGGTAAAATCTTGATGTGAACACACAGCGCTACCACCCTGGATCCATAGCAATCCATGTGACTTCTTAATGTGTCGATGAGCCCGACAGTGTAGAAATATCAGCCATCACGCACAAAGACAAGTCAATCACGACTATTGACAGATGACCCAACAGTCCATTGGGACGGCATTGAAGCAGAATTCGTTTACTTTAAAGAAAACACACAGCATTACTCGGATTCCATCAATCGTGACCGCCTTGGTGCCACACTATCCAATTTTGCGTCCCTACTTTACTTAGATTTTAACTTCCGATGCTGTTTATTGAAGAAGGCCCTGTCCTTGGGAGTGGAAATCTTGAAGGGTTTCAATGCACCACTCATCACGCTCATCATGACGCAACCAGGCGGTACTAAACCCCTTCCATCTCACTCGTTTGGTAAGCGAACTATCTAAAATTCAAGTCAAGTTACTTGATGATGTAGCACGGAGAAAGGACAGCGATTGGAAGTGTGCTAGCGCCGTGCACCCACTCGATTCTTCCGATTCTTTCGATACGAAGGCAGCAAGTCACTATGATCTTCATCTGTAAAGCCTCGTGCATGTGGTAAGAGGGTTATAGCTGCCACAGGTCTGTTCGCTGATGATCTGGAGAATGCAGGAACAAGAGTCCAAAAGGTAATTCAGATAACTTACTGAAATTCCAGCACATACATGTATTTGGGAGGGGTGTCAATCAAAACCGAATGTAAAACCCGTACAATCACACTTGGTTACAAGTTAGATTAGCCGTTCCGATTTTTCATTGGAAGGGCTGGATCAGAATACGGTGCCTCCCAATCTGTTCACTCCGAACAGGGACTCCTCCTCGAATGGACCATTTCGTTTCGGTCCCATGAACTGTACCATTTGGTTAATGGACAAAATAAGGGGCCCTTCGAAATTGACCCATAATCTTTGTAATTCGTGTAAATCAGGAGGCCTAAACACTGGCTGACGTGGTGATCCATTTCTTTTCTATCTACAGTGAACTAGTTCTAGAGCATATGACTGCGTTGCACATACGTTTTACTGACCAGTGTGTTTGACGGCTAGGCTCAAACACAGGTGGCCCCGTGGTTTCGATGTACTGCAACTAGCAATCGAGTGTACCTTGTTGGTTCGCCCAGTTGTTTCTGTCAATGCTAAGAACACACCAATGTTCTAGGGCCTTTAGTCTCTCGATAGTCACTCACTTGTGTGGCTGTTTATTCACCTGTAATGACCTATAAATCGTCACGTCATGAAAAAACAGAATGTTTCCTTATAGTACCGATGAAGTGACGGTTGCTTAGCTTAGCCATAGGACACTGTCAGACTCACATAAAACTCTAAAGCACAACCGACGTAAACGTTAGAGCATCGTCGGAAATCGATGAAACCTAAACACACCACTTGTTCCCTGAAAGCAGATCTCGATTGTAGATCATCATCATCAATAACAGATTGCTCCGGAGAAGTTTTAAAAAAGTGTTGTTAGCCTCTTCCAGTTGACCAATGGCTGGAAGGTGCTTATAGCTATGGCCTCAGACTAGTCCTTCAGGACCATCAGTTTTGATGAAATGGAAGCCTACTCGTTAAGCTGAGCATGCATTCAGGTTGGTCATTTCGAATGCACCATGATCTCGGTCTCCAGGGTCAGAAAAGTTACCGATCCAGGTCATCTGTAAACAGTTGAGCGTGCCATTACAGAAAATCATCATAGGGCTACCTTTCCATCTAGAATGACTTGGACTATTGCAGAGTTATTGAAAAGACAGTTGGAGTAACTGGGTTGCACTAGCCACTTAACAGTAAAATAATGTGTACATTTTGACTGGCTGTGAGCATCGTTACGTATCCACAGTTGTATGGTACCATGCAAGTAGAATCCGTTCTGTTAGATCTCATCACTGATAAATCATGCTACAACCTAAACCAGTAGCCACACTTTTAGAAACTATCATTCAACTCGGATAACTTAAAAGTGGAAAAGTGACGTTTCTTGGCCAGTTACACTCAGTAGAAACACCACTGGAGTGCTGTCCATCAAATTAAACTCCCCTTCCATTGTTGGAGCACACGTCTAACTAGGGGAGAGGAATACTAACTCTGTTACATCATTAGATTCATATTTATTACCATACCCTGGAAGTTGTTATTTGTTTGATGGACAATTAGAAGGTGGGCGCGTTGTAAGACCACAGAGAACGCTGCAGTGTTTGTTTCAATGTATGGCATTTCGCGAAGAATAGGACTTCCGGTCCCTGTTGGCACTGATTGTTCATTTTCAGTTCAGTCGAACTCACAGAAGAGCGACTGTTTCAACCTGGAAACAAACTGGATGTCTTCACTAATGACTTAATGCCTCGGGAGCCTCTTAGTTGCCACATTAAACTGGGTTCGGTCAACCTTCCTTCTGCTCAGAATGGATAATTTTAACCAGGGTTTTTACACGCGGTTCTCATTGTGTTACCTAGAATGCGGTACCTCATCCGAGCCAGGTATAACTGCTGCGAAATCCTTAAGTTCAGTATGGTCCACAGGATCAACAGGTCGGGAGAGTACTTGTTCGAGCAGTTCGACTAGAGGCCACGTGTGCTAGCTTTGGCGTCCGGAATTACAGGCGCTACTGCCAGTTGACATACAAGACGACGGCGAAAACATCAGACCAGGGTGTTAAGTGGTTTCTTTCTAGCAAGCACAGTAGGCTATGTGTATCTGAAGCTACGTGAACTATAGTGATTAAACTGGACAATTTGGCCCGAGCTCGGAGAGGTTAGTCTACTATTCGTTTGCTCCGTTAAGTGTTCTGCAAATCATTTGCCAGTTTAGAAGCAACTTCCCTCCTGTAACTTATCACCATTTATTGATGTAGTCGTTAATGGTAGCATTTTGTTTTACTTGAACCATGTTCGTCTTATGTGATTGGCTATTAGGTGAAACTTCATTTCAGCTGAAGAAAAGTGAGAATAAATGGTGGTATTGGTGAACAGCTGAGTTTAACTGAGAACCAGGACCGATGTGTTCAAGTTTGATCGTTTCTTGAGAGGAAGTCATTCGTCATTCGACAAGCAGTCTAGTATGATTCTAGCAACTGTTGAGACGCCTAGTTGGTAGCGCTATCGTCGAAGCTGTGGAATGATCATCGTCGTTGTCAGCTGTAATAACTGCGTACTTGTCGAACAGTGGTTGTAGCTACCACAGTTTCGTCCACCGATGATTTGAAGAGGTGGGGTAGGTAGCTGCGCATTGGAGGCGGGAGCTGATAAATTAGTGGGTAAATACAGCACTGTCAGAGGACTGTTAAGTGGGGGACGGGAGCGATGCATTGAACTTGATAACTTGGATGCATGAGTGCCATTGAGGGTGCGACTGGGTCATGTCTGACAATATGGAATCGCAATGATGGAACTAAATGGAGCGATTTTCACGCCCCAAATTTTGAGATAAAGCTACGTGTATGTGGCTTCTCTGGTTGATATTTCGATCTCATTTATTTTTATTCTAGCTGTGCGGCCAGTTGCAGTATTCGTATCCGTACCTTGGCTGCACGTGCAGTCAGCTGTCTGATCCACGCTGATAGATTACCAGTCGTCGTAGAGGCCTACATAGGGCATCTGGAACGCCTCACCGCAGCTGGTGGTCCTCATTCTTCAGCCAGATCCAACTGTAATTTCATTCATGGTCTACTACTCCAGGTGAGCTATGGGCAACAGTTCACCAACTTTTTTACCACATTGTGCCTATCAAGCCCTTGATGAGTGTTCTCTTAGCAGAAGGCTCATCTAAACCGATGAAATTGTCCGCCTTTCAGAGGTAACCTAATTTTATACACGAACACCCCTCCATAGACGTACTTTTCTTTTCATTGCTTTTAAACCGATGCTTAGTTTTGCAGCAGACACTTAGAGATGAAGCACACGTGTTTTCGCAACGAAGCCATGGATGTATACAATTGTTCTAGTCTCACGTGGTGGGACCCTTGCGACTTAACCAATCATAGATAAATGTATATCTGTGGTGCACTACTCATAAGGTTGGTGAAAATTCGCCGTCAGCAACCTTATGAGTAGTGCGTTAAAAATATGCATGCATCGCGATATCTCGAATATCGTGGCGACTGAAACATGAGCCGGCCTGGTTCAGTTGCCTGGAAACATCACAAACGGGAGATTCAGCTGGGTTCCAGGTGGGTCTCTCGCAAAGCCAAATTAGTTTGCAACTGAGTGTATTTCGCTAATCATAGATAAAATTTAGCTTTTTTGTAGTTTCACTAATTAAAAGAACCAGCAATATAAGCTCTGCCGTGCGCGTGTGTAAACGGATTTGAGATAACTCAATTGGTTACCTTCACAAAACAATTGATACTCGTACCGGATTGTATCTAACGGAGGAGTTTCCTTGTGTTTTATTTCTACCGTAATTTATACCTGGAAAACCATTTTCTTTGGAACCTTGCGTCTCCAACTCCTCGTCACGCTTGTTTAGGGAGTTGCAGCAGAGTGATGTACCTAGCAACCGAAAGGGTGCTACAGATGAACCATTATCTATTATTTGTCTTTTGTCGTATTAAAGAGGACTCTAACCCACGTGGTCCATGAGTTATACGCATCATGTGTCTGATGATAAGTGTATGATGAGTTCACTTTGTACCGATATGACCGTGCAAACAAGCATGGTTTTAACCAAGCTATGGGGCATAACAACTGTTCCTAACTAACCCCTCGTCACCACGTTTATAGAGAAATTACTAAGTCTCGAAAATTACCTGAAGTTTGGTTTGAACATATCGTTTGGCTCTTTAAACCCGACTTTCTCAAATTCGCGATCAGGTTACCAGTTGTGTCTGTTTGAATCATTCGTTCTCGAGATTCCCTACTGAGGGACTGTACTGAGGTTGATTGATTTTCCACCTTTTTCCTATACTTTCGAAAAATCGCATTCTTCTATGAATTTTTTCGTCAATGAACTTTCTTGAACGTGTTTTAAATAAAAGCTGTATAGATTTGTTTTACGTACATTTCCATTGCGAAACAGGTTTTCGGTTCGTCCTATTCGGGTGATCGTGCCATCCTCTAATTCAACCCCATCTTCGAGACTTTGCCGACATTCCTCGTTTCTTTAGAGTTAAGCTTCCATGGTCTGTTATATCTGTGAATTATTCCGAAATCCAACACCCTGACTTTTCACTCGTGTAACTTGAGTGTTTTCTATCACAGCTGAGGCAGCTATTCTCATTGGACTTTTGGCCCGTGCAACCTCGTTCTCCTCGCTCCAGTCTTCTGCTCAAACTTGCAAAGACTCTCAGTTTTCTGGCTGATCCGATCGCCACTCCTTGTCCGTTGATCAGGAAGACTTTTATGTCCATTGTCCAAACTCGGTTACACTTGGATATGAACGTATCACACTCCGAAGTGCCTGGCTTGGGAATTGAGGCCTCAGAGCTTCGATTACGACTGATTGTTACCGGATGTTTGACAGCTTTACGCGAAGAAGGCATCAGTCACCTATCAGAGACCCAGTCTTTCCTGAGTATCCTTCGACAGACTACCTCATCAGAGGTAAGTTTTATTCATACGGTACTGTTACTTTTTACGTGGGACTTTTTTTCAGGTGCCATGAACCGCACCAATATATCGGCAACCTCTCCGAATTTGGCTTTCAATCTTTCCAAATTTAACCAAGTCCTACTGACTCACCATTCCCTGTTTTTCGTTCGTTTTGCCTCATTCTAGTGCCAGGCCTCTGTATTTCGAGAAGCCCTCTTCTTCCTAACAGAAAGTCTGCAGACTTTCGCCACACATTTGTACGATCTTGGTCCGGAAGATCTCACTATCGTGTACTCAAGGTCTGGTGCGCTCGATCCAAGGTTTGGTGATCGCGTTGTTAAATGGATTGGTTTGGTTGACCTTGTTGAATTTCTCCGCGTCCTACCAATGACCGTCAGGGCTAATCACATGGTTCTACGGTACGGCCTGTCCTTGTTGATAGTGCTTCTCCCTTTTGCATCTGCTGATACAAACAAATCCATAATCACCATGTTCGAGTGGATGGTCTCGTGTTTTGCAAGCAAGGATGTCTACTACGGTCTATATTCTCCCTTCATATACTATTTGGCTGCGGTTTTTCGCAAGAAGACCTGTTTGCCTTCTGAACTCAACGAATTGTCCGACAAAAGTTTTGTTTGTGCACTGACCAACTTACTTGAGCAATTCACAGGTGACGTCTTCAGGCGTGATGATTTCTTTGACGATGAAATACGTGAAGCCTTCGTCAATGCCATTGGTGGACTTTTCCTATCCGCGCAGAACTTCCGCTATACGGGCAAGTTGAATCTGTTCATATCAAGCATTTTTTAACGATTTTCGGATAACCGCATTTATGAAACAATTGACTCAACAGTAGTATAACTTAAATGATAGGTCATGTGCTTCGCATGCTGAGTGCTCGAGTGACTGAGGCAAGTTTTAACTGGAAGATACCACTAGATGGCCACGCATCACCCAAAGACGGAGCACAAATACAGCTAACTGTTGGTTTTCAATTGTGTTGCTGCATAACGAAATATCTGGCACCCATTATATAAGGGGTTGGAGATACTGACATGGCAGCGTCACACGGCCAACGGTGCTGTTGTATTATCGACTTTCTTGTTCTGAATCACAAACTCTCTAGCTTCTTGTTTTGTCTGTTTTCCACACCCACTCTCTCACTCCACTACTGTACTCTAAGGCCACCCAACTCACCGTACACACACGTCTCAGCTATTCGACAGAGTTGAACTTATCTGAAACAGCATAAGTTACTGTTTAGTAAGACGAACGTAGCTGATGAAACACTACATCACGAGACCCACCTCACCCTTTTCGTCCACTCCTAACAACCTCGTCATTTGCATTAGCCGCAGCTCATGATCCTCATGAACTTCGGCTTTGGGACAGCTTCGGTTTATTTTTTTAGATACGGACTAGTTAAAGTCGTTATCAAATGGTAGTGAGGTAATTGGCAAAATAGAGCTAATCAATGAACTAATAAATCGGCCGACAAACCGGCGTTAAGCCCCAAACTTACCGTTCACTGTGGTACATCACTGTGACGGAAAGCACTTTCCAGCTTTGGCGAGGACTACCATTCGATACTTTAACCAGTGGACAACCTCTGTTGCTCTTGCATTCCGATGTAGCCAACGCGAGACACCACCGTGTATTCATGTTTCTTTTGGGCCCTATCAGACAACGCTCAGCGCCGGAGCCGGTCTCCTTATATTCGATGTACATGCACCGACTGGGAAACGCCATAATAAGACCTTAATTCGAACCACTGTCGTCTGCGAATCTACCTGCAAAGAAGTAGTGCTGTGGTCGATAGAAAAATGTCTACCATTGGGGAAGGAATTGGCGAGCAATTGACTGGTTTCTCCCTTCATCAAAGTGCTCCGTAGGGTGCGCAGCGCTTTTCCGTTATTGCACTCATAAGCAAGATCATACTGATTGTGCAAAGCTCTTTTTTTCAATAGGTCTATTAATTACACTTCGTTTCTGCGCAGCTGCGAATCCAAATGTTATGGACGATTTGGTGTCTTCATTTGAATGTAAATCTGCTGACGTACTTTGCCATGCCTTAATGACCATTCTTGGTTTGTTGCCAAGACCGCCTCCTATGAATGACAGTGGAAACTTTGACTCTCGTTCGGCATGCGTCGGAGCGACTCAGAGAATATCTTAACGGGCAGAAAATGCGGAAGAGACATTGCGCTTCACACAAATGAAAACCGTGATATTTTTTAGGGAAAACCCGTTTGGTGGAAACTACCTTGCAGACACCCTGAGCTGCTTGAAACTTTTTTCCTGATCTCTCATCTCCTTCTTATGTCTTTATTCTTTATCAGACTAATATTCCAAGGCTATAGGATATTTAAGAGCTGGTATCCACTCTGGTGCATGATCATGACAAACGACTTTTATGGGATCCTTTGTGCAAACCTACCAATTAGCGGACGGTCCAGTTTCGATGACGTGTACGCAAGATGTTTCTGGAAAAGCGTTAAATATGTGCCTAATAAAACCCCGAGACTACCTTCGTGTTCGCAACTTGGTTGGGTGATTTCCAAAGAAATCCTCAGATGAGCGATATGGGGTGAGATGGATCAAGTAGTTAGAGCGCGAATTTACTGGCCGGAGGGTCCGTTGTTCGAACCCGACCCCTGCCTCTCGACTTCCCCTGTCTAGGCTTGGGCAACCTGACAGTATCCCAACCCTCGTGCTTCCTTCGGGTAGCATGGCAGCTAGGCACCGCAAGGGTTTTACAGCTGAACGATTTTTCCCTCCGATGATCTTCACAAGACACCCAAGCTTTATCATATTGGCGGACTTGTGAGTGTTCTTGCTCAATTCACCTGCCTACTAACACCGAACTTCGGGAAGTAAATAAACGAGTTTCGATCGGCCTTCATGTACCAACTGGGAAGGATCCAAGAGGTCATGATTTTTAAGAATATGATTCAAGTCCGTTGCACACGATCTGCCAGATAAAAAAGCCCCTATCATCTGTATGCGTTCACTTTGTAGCTTGACGCACCACACATGAAAGAGACGATTAGCTGATCGAATTTGAGAACCACTGTTATAGCCGGTGATTGGTGCATCCGCAGCTGTTGATGACAATTCCAACTAGTCTAGTTTCACGATACACATGTAGTGAGGATGTGACAAGTACAGATTCACCAAATCTGACCCATGAAAGACCCTCACTTTGTCGTTGATCGACGCCCGCCTTGTCACGTGGGGTGATAACGTCCTAGTTATTTCGAAGTATTGGTTATATTCGTGCTACTTGTGGATGATGGGTAAACGTCTTCATTACAATGACTTTGTCGATTAAATCGAAATAGCTATGAAAGTTTAAAAATCCTCTCCTAGTCGGCATCTCCTGTATCACAATGGATCCAAATACTCCCCGTGAATTGTGAACAACCTATACATTATGTCCCCTCTCCGCTTCCGTGTAGAATCCATCAGACTTTTCCAGTTCCTACTGGAATCGCTTCTCAACTTCAATCATCCTGAACTTCAAAAACTAGCTTGTGAAAATTGTCTTCGCTTTCTCGAGACAAGCCGAACGGACGATCTGACGAATCAGAATAGCAACAGTGAGTATTGATTCTGCTTTCGTTTCATCCTTCTCTAGTCACACCCATGCCGTACGTTGTGTTGCCACTTCTCATCAAGCATGTGTTGGAACATGGCCTACTACAGGTCAGCCAGGTGATTGCGGTCACTCAAGCACTATTTGTCCCCGTCAGCTCCTCTGCGGACCGTAGCCCTCAGGTAGTTTTTTCTTTTATTTTGGATTAAATGTTTCTCTCTGTCGCCCTATCATCAGGAATCTCAACAACGCGTTTTTGCGCACAATGATCCTAAGCGTTTGACGGATATGATAACCACTTTCAGCACTGTCACGCAGACAATCGGAGGTCTAAAAACGCTAATGAGCAATCCTTGTTCAATGGAATCGTTGTATTTAGGCGCGAGGAAACAAATTGCTACCGTCTTTGAACGAGTTCATGGCGAATTGCTGTGTGACTCCAAGCTTGTCACTGAGCCAATCGAAGTTCGTCGCCTGTTTGAGCTAACCTGTCTAGATGTGTTTGCTCGAAATCTCGGTACTTTGACATATTGCGATTGAATTGAATGTATGTAAATTCAAATTTTGTTTACCTGGAAATGAGAAAGAAAATTGTATTATGAATTGCATCGTGTTTTGTCACATGACTTTCTCAGTCTAATTTAAACGTCATAGTCGATTTCTCTGTCTCTCAGACAATGCTTATCAGTCCCATTGCCCTGCATCCCAGTTTATCTATTCTGCGATGATTTCTTTCGTAATTCGATGCTGTCATTTCGTAGTTCTTCAAGTATTAGAAATTAATCTCGAGGTTGGCGGTAATTGGGCGATGGAGCTGCCAGCGTTCCCAAGACATTTCGGTAGCCATTTGTTTCCATCGTCATTCCAAAGCACATTACAACTTTTGCTGCACAGCTTCACCTCGTGTTACTTTCCCAGCGGCCGAAGTTGGTCATCTCGACCAAACTGTGAATATGTATTATTGCCATTTTTGGTTGGGATTCTAAACGGATCTGTCGATGGACAGTGGTTGGTTGATAGGACATCTGTGTACAGTGAATAAACCACAGGCAGTTTGTGCGGGACCGAATATGGTACTACGCAAATGCTGCTGGAATAAGATCAGCTGGCAAACATACAGGGTCCTGTAGACAGTTGTCAGTAGGAAGGGTCGTACTTTCAAGCATGGTGTTACCTGATTCGCATTTATTTGAACAGCGTATGCGACGGCTGGTGGAACTAAAAGCAAGCAACGATAGCCTCACCGTGTGTTGTCAGGCCTAAACAGTCTTTGGCGAAATCGGTAGTCGGACTTAGTAGCATGAGGCACAATTAATTCTGAAGGCAATGAGCAGCCACCAAATCAAAGTGGTAGCTTTCTGTCGGAAACAGTTATAACCCAAGTCAGCCGTGAACAGTAACAATGAGCATTAACATTGGTTCTTTTGCACATGGGCGCCGACCAAGTTTGGAGATTCCCCTTCATTTATTCGGGATACAACGGTTTTCAAAGATAACTTATTATAGCAACGCTCTATAAGAGATACCTATTAATGCGCCGTTTGGGTGCGAATGGTGGCAAACTAGTAGTCGGATTACTACTAGTATGTATGTAGTGTGAAAAGAAATTCCTTTTTTTAGTCCCTTTTTTTTCTTGCGTGAGCAAGTGTTTGAACACTGACCCAGTCTATCAGCCATTACGAGCGAAAGAACCACACAGTCACGGGACTCGGAGCCAAGAAACCTAACGGCAACCAACGGACTAATTGGATCAAAGGAAGACAATCACGAAAAACAGAAGGCCGATGAATCAACCAATAAAATGAGCAAAACTCACCCCACAAAACAAGAAGGAAACGACCGAATTACAGCATGACAACCATATACAGACCTGCCGAATTGAATGCACCCAACGAACCAACCAGACACAGGAGATTGAGACCACCTGAGATTCATAGGAGACCAATCAAACTACACGTTCCAGAACTACCAGATACTGTTTAGAAGCTATATAATCACAGGCAGACGAGGAGGAATTCACCCACTCAACACTGCACTGACGATATCACCTCGATTGGTGATGAAACGTTTGCAATCCAACTGCCAAGCTCGGCGAACAGACCAACAACCAAACAGCGCACCCGAGCTACCTACATTTCACAACATTGCTGAAGGATACTACTCACAAAGCTGCTGAAAATTCCTCAACCTTGTGATTAGTTCCCTCTTAGAAAATTTACTGCCATATTTCGGATATCATACCAACTGAAACTTGAGGGTGGCCTTTGTTCAGCGCATTCACCTCTTGTGTACCATGAATGAACTATTCAGCTGGGATTCGATTGAGTCTCCTGGGAAAGCCACGATGGTGTGCAGTGGAGTGCATTTCACAGCATTCGAATTTATCTATTTTGATTCAAAACATTTACAAGTACAGAAGTAATCAAAGTGCGTAACCGACAGACGAATTCTTTCAAGGACATGTGTGCTTAGTACGGGTCCGCACATTGGAGTGTGTACATATCGCATTTTATACTTTCAACAGGTGCAGCCAAACAAATCCGATGGATGATGTCGAATGTGTCCTTCGATTTACGACGCATCAAGCGCTCTTCTCCTAGCATCATCTCGTCATTCGAAGCTACCTGAACACCCGGCCCACAGACTCTGTGTTCCACAAATGCGTATCGCTCGCCAAGATCGCTACAGGGTATCAATTCCAGTGGAAGTAGTCTTTCCGTGATATGCGATTTGGTCTGTGTTTCACATAAATCCACAGAACCGTAACGCCATCGTAAGAATTCTTTTGGGTTCCTCGGTGCCGGGAACCAGTCGGAACCGAATGGACGCAAGTAAAGTGGGAAGACCGCGTCATATGGCCAAGTGTATTGTGGTGGACGGGCTTGTTTGATACTTTTGATATGTGTTCCGTTCGCTTCGAAGTATTCAATATGTATATGAGGCCATCCGTATTCTTGTAACGTAGTGAAGTGGCCCTGCTGCAGGTCCATGTGGTTTTCTGATGACTCCATCATTTTTGCAAAGACGATATCCTGCGTTGGAGTCTGATGCAGTAGAATTTCCGGGCTTAATGTTCTCAGCAAGCTTCGCACTTTAACGCGTATGGTCACGTCAACCAGAAACCCGGCATGGTCGGCCCAAGGCACTACATCATGGTGACGGAATGAGCCCAATACGGCATCTGCCGAGAGCATAAAACGATCCCCAAATCCATTCTCAAGCAAAAGGTCTGCAACCGTTTTCAACAATTTCTGGAATAAGAGTCTCTGACTGTAGCTTAACACCGGCTGAAATGGACCAGGTTTTGTTAGCATACTGTGATTCTGAATTAACTGTGTTGTTGAGACTGAGGAAAGTGTCCCGTCCGGCCATGCCAAGGTGTCCAGCTTCGGGAGTTTGGATTTTACTGACTGCTTCATTATCGGAGTTGCTCTGAATAGCTGTACGTCCAGACCCTCGGGCAAATACAAATCACCGAGCTCCATGTCTACCGTGGACCCTGTAGCCACTCTCTCAAACTTTACAGATACTTTGTATAGTAGGTATGAGGTCCAGACCCTCAAATACAAATCACCGAGCTCCATGTCTACCTTGGACCCCGTAACCACTCTCTCAAACTTTACAGATACTTTGTATAGTAGGTATGAGGTGCTCAAAAGCAGAAATATCACCGCAACAATCCGTCTTCGAGCTAACATTGTGGATTTGTGGACTTCCTGGAACTGTGTTCCGGACGACCTGTTAGGATTGGGACAAAGTTAGGCTTTAGAAGATTTGCGGTCACATCTGAACGTACCAATTATTAGCTCATTCGTCCCTGTATTGTTCGATTTGAAGATTTATTTTGAGGAATATCTGCCATCGTTTTCATTGAATAGTTCATTAGTCCGGAGAAACTAGTTCGAAAATTAACTGGAATTTACAAACTACATCTAGACACACGACCACAGGTGATTGAGTGATCGCAGTCACCGCGTACCATAAATGTCCAACAAATCAACAGTAGAAAAACTGATCCGTTTTTCTAATGTATTAATCAACAGTAGAAAAACTGATCCGTTTTTTGCTGCCAGGTCAGAGTATTCTGATCTACGAAACACTGCAGTTTTCCGCTATTCCATCCATTGACCAATCAGTAATGAAAGCTCGATAGCTTTTAAGCTATCGAAATGAAGGGCAGTTGCACCCTTTTTCACCGACAATAGACGAATGGTTGATGAAATAGATTAGATGATTTCCATACCGTTTTCCTCTCTCACAGTAGAATATGACGCAAAAACAAAACCGCCACTCACGTCCAAATACAGTACTTTATGTTACGCTTCCAAAAATGACTGACAGTTGATGGAAAGTATGTCGGATGAGGTTTGCTCTGATCGAATCTATATCGTTCAAGCTCCAAAGGTGTTTGTTCAGAATGATAACTACCTTAAATGTGCTGTACAGTTATAAGTTAGCCCTGAAACAGCTATGGACAGCTAACCGTCGTTGTTGATTATCGCTATCTGTTTTCTAAGCACCTACTTGAAGACAAAGACTGTAACTTGCCTTGTTGCAGTCCACAAGTGTGTATTCGTAGGTCAAGCACCCTCTTTTTCTCGTCACTTCATCTCCATTTACCGTCGTCCAAATCATCCAGTTCTTGATTGTCTTTCGGACAACAATGTTCATCAGATTTCAAATCACCCAACAATAAACGGTACCAGTCATGTGTTGATCGAATGTATCTCGTGACGCGGTCAGACGCGTCGATCAATAATTTCAGTGTTTCAAATCACTCACAGCTAAATAAGCCTTACGCGGCATAAACTACCCTATTCTATGCAGTTTTCACTTCCAATGACCTCGTACTGTTTGAATAACATGATACGAACTTGATTGAAGAATCATCCATGCTTAGATCTCACGAAACCCCGGAAGAATCAAATGATGTTTAGGAGCTAATCCACATCCCCAGTGGGACCGGTCAGTAACCAGGCAACTGCAGCCCAGACAACATTAAAATACGCACTACGGACATCCTATTGGGTCAACCCTGGATTATCAGAACCCCCTGTTTGAGTCTCGCCTATCATCTTTACAGACCTAGCCAAACTTGAATAGACGCGCGTACGACGGAAATTCAAAAAAGACAGTTCATATAGGAAGTGCATTGTGGGGTCCGTGAGTATGAGAAAACACTATCACTCGGGCCCGAAAAGAGACCCTGAGGATTCAGCTGTTTCCAAACTGCAGATCAAGGAAGTATTACTGAACTTTGTCAAGGTGGGAGTTCTGCAGTGTTTGACAATGAACCGCTGTAAAGTTCTGTTTTTTTGCTTGGGCTACAAAATTTATGAAAACTCACAGCTTTACAGATGAAGTCGTTCCTGTGATCGTACTTCTTACAGTTCCACTGGGGGATGTCACATCACTGATTTCATCAGAGGCTGAAAGCACTTGGAGAATGTGAAAGCTCCTGGAAGACACCGAAGCCGAAAGTTCGGTTATTTACAATGCTAACTAATGATCGAAAACTTTCACATTAAGGTAACTCAACTGAATGGAGCGAACTCTTGGGTATTCGTCCATCAGCACCAACCATAAACCACAATGAACAATTGTCATTAATTCATTCAGACCATAGTTGCCTGCATCTACCTGGAAGATGTTTGCTTGCTAGAAACGTTAACTAGGTACTCCAGCAATTTCGCTCACAGAATCACTCACCCTAATCCGTAGCGAGCTCGAATGACAAATGAATGTGTGTTCATCCCCTATTTTCAGGAACTGACGGGACTTCATATAGCCATTCTTTCTGCTTTTGCACATCAGCACACAGATTTAATCAATCCACACTGAAGTCCCAGTTCTTATGATGTCTATGCGATTCTGCTCTGATTTGTCGCATAGTTATTTTGAGGTGGAACTAGATTAGGCCATAAGAAGACCATCAGGAGCCGTTTCATTCCCGTAGATTTGGTCGATAACTCAGAGGAGCCAATGGAAGGTGAGGTTGTTAATTCGATCTTAAATTGATCATTACACCGTTTCCGGACTGCACCACCAACGAAGCTACGAAGATATTAATACCGGACTGTCCTAGGTGAGTTGTCTATCGTTATCCAAATGACGCAAAGCCTATATAGGTAAACGACAAGCTAAATTTTCGTATTCCCCTGAAGTCGAGTAAAACATCTCAAGATGTGCGTTGGTGGCTAGCTGCCTGTTTAAACCAACATTCAGCATCGATGTGAACAAAAGACTAGCTATTCCCAGTATTTTCTTCAGTTTGGATGTTGTGAAATTATTTTTCAGAAAAGCTGCTCACAAATCCTCCAATTTTTCTCCCGAAATCCGATGAATTTACCTAAGAGATGAATGGAAGATAGCAGGGCGGTCTATTTTACAACTCTTAAATGAGGATCGCACAGACGGAAAACGGTCTCAGCCTGTAATCCAGAGCGTCATGGTCGAATTCTGTCTGTTATTAATCTGGTGAAGTCAAGAGAATAAATTTCCGACTGCGTGAAGTTAATTTTCAGAGAATAGCTTTTATGGACGCAATAGACTACTCACAAGGTTATTGAAAATCCTTCGACAGCCCGCGACCGATTTCGCCCTTGTTCGGGCTCATCAGGTGGATACGGTCCCCGAGTTTCCGTCAACCTTACATTCCACTAGAGACCAAGTTGCACAAAATTAGCGAAATGCACTCATTCGTCTAATAATGCCATAAACGAGAGACCCGTCTGGAATCCAGACTCTCTTACATTGTGTACTCAGTAACAATTGCTCCCGCTAAATTGCGTGCCTACCGGATTTGACCTCAAAACCAAGATCGTAAATAAGTGAGTGAGTTTGCTGAGGCAGGGTCTTGCATTCTTGTGTTGTAGCAGAAAGATAAAGGTTGTTAAATCCAGCTCAGTAGAAATGCTTGCACGTATTCTATGGAAGGCCTGTTTGAGTGCTCCCACAAAATCTTCGGCGGAGTTATTAGCTAACGGATGACTAGGAGAAGCTAATAGACATCCACAGTAAAAATCTTTTGTTTGTTTCCTGATTACTGTACCAACAAAATGGAAATTGCCTTCTGTAACATGCGTTTGTGACGAAATTTCTTTTAAAAAATGCAAGTGCTGTGAAGCAGTTGGTCTGGTGAGAAATAGTTTTAACATGAGGCAGCACATTCAGCTACCTGAAAACGTCACAAACGATAGATTCAGCTGGGTTCCAGCTAAGTCTTTCGAAAAACCAAATTAGTTTGCAATTGAGTGTATATTAGCTAATTTCGTGCAATTTGGTTTCAAGTGGAACATAAGGTTGACGGAAATCCCGGGGACTACGCCTACCCAACGAGCAACCTTATGGGTAGTACAGTACAAAGATATACTTTTGACAAGCTTGGACAAAAGCCAGTTTCAGCGAGTGTTTGCCGAGTCACACACATTCACAAGTCACACAAATCAGTGTTGGTCCCATGCCACGCTTAAAACACGTGAGCTGCGCATTCTGTTTAGATTATATCTGCGCACATCTGAGACATTGAGAAGTTGTTTTTGTTCTGCCCGGTCGCAAGTGCTTGAATTTTCAAAACCCAACTTTTTGGCATCGTTGGGATCCTGAGGGCTCTCAGCACTGTCATTTTCGGACTAAGGGCTAAGTCAGTTTACACTGTACTAACTGTATTCTTGTGGTTTTTCCCACAATTCAGTAGAAATAGCTAAAAACAAAACTTCGGTTATGGGTTATCATGACCAACTATTTAACAAATGATACAGAGACAGTAAGTTCCCTTGGTTACTTCATAAAGGCTCGCAACTATTCCCCGGATGCCCATAAATCTACCAACGCACCGCCGAATGCCCATGTGGACAAACCGACTGCTCTAGAGCTTTATTGTGATATCTGCTGTGACGAATGCTCTGGTTTTCATTCGTACTATGACTTGGTGACATAAGTGATGGTGTTGTCTCTGATTTCCTTAAAACATGGTCAACCTGGGAGCTTACTCATTTGGCCTAATGAAGCTTTTGCACCAAAATCGAAGATTCGTCCAGCACTAAATCCACCGATTGTTTAGCAAACATATCTGGAACGATCACTGTCCCAAGCATTTTGCTATTCAATGAATATTACAAAAACTAACTAAGGCCATTTCTGGCAGTGCCGCTCCGTGTGACTAGATGTCTTCGCCTGGTAAGCCACATGAAATTTTAGACAGTGGAAGAAAGCATGCTTGTCTGTGTTTAATTGTGATAACTGTAGTCATCGGCATTTAAATAACTTCGCATGATTCCGCTGGATTTGTTCCTTAGGGGGAAGTTTGCTTCAGTTGGATTCTCAAAAAAGAAGAATAAGCAATTTGACTGGGCATGGTAACCATAAAATACAGTGGCTTTACATTGTTGCCAATTATGCGATTCGCAGCGAGGTTCCCTAATCATATTGTGTATTCAAAAGAATGTTATTCCCTTGCAGGCACAGCCAGATTAGCTTGACTTGGGTGTTAAATCTGTCTTTCACAAAGTTGTCGCGGACTTATAATTGCTCGTTTCGAGCAGGAATGCCGCCCACAGCTGTGTCCGAGGTCAGTTAATTTGTCCTTCGTCGGGTTGCCCAATCCAGAAACAAACAGATACATGAATGGTTTAGCTTAAAAGCGGGGCCATTGGCCGCACAATGCGTTCAGCTGCAAAACATTTGCTGGTGGAGTAGA